CGACGAGCTGCTTCCGCTGCTGCTGCTGCTGCTGCTGCTGCAGCTTCTGACTCTTAGTGGTATTGTGTTTTAGGTTTTGCTGGCTTTTCACTGGCGGAGTCTTTACCAGCGTGTCGCCTTTTCGAAGCTAGTAAAACCCTGATATCACCTGCTGCTGCTGCTGCTGCTGCTGCTGCATGCAATGTTACTGCTGCCGCATGCAGTGTTGCTGCTGCCGCATGCACTGCTGTTGCTGCCGCTGCTTCTACTGCCGCACGCACTGCTGCTGCTGCTGCTGCATGGACTGCTGCTATTGCGTGGACTGCTGCTGCTGCATGGACTGCTGCTGCTGCATGGACTGCTGCTGCTGCATGGACTGCTGCTGCTGCGTGCACCGGTGCTGCTGCAGGTCGCCGATTGCCAGAATCAACGACGAAATTAAGGTATTGGGTTTTCCCTGTGGATAGACAGGGGATCTTCTCCCCCCAACGTCGCCTACGCGCTGCAGTCGCTGCACCATATGTTCACATGTAAGCAGCAGCAGCAGCAGCAGCAACAGCAGCAGCAGCAACCGCAGCAGCAGGAGTAACAGCAGCGCAGCTGTAGGAGCAGCAGCAGCACTAGGAGCAGCAGCAGCAGTAGGAGCAGTAGCAGCAGGAGAAGCAGCAGCACTAGCAGCAGCAACTAGACTTGTTGGCAGGTCCCAACACAGTTCACGCGCTGCAGCCGCTGCACTGCGCATGGGCACTGGAGCAGCAGCAGCAACAGCAGCGACAGCAGCAGCAGCAAGCGCAAAAGTGGACTTGGCTGTTTTATTTTTGCTGCAGGTCTGCTCGTGGGAGAAACCCTGCGCGTTGCAGTGCAGAGGCAGCAGCGCTACGAGCAGCAGCAACTGCTGCAGCAGCAGCTGCTCCAGCAGCAGCAGAAGCAGCAGCTTCTGTAGCAGAAGCAGCGGCAGCAGGCAGCTTCATAGTAAACAGCTATTCAAGGGGCACAACTGCAGCAGCAGCAGCAGCAGCAGCCAAAATGGCTGCTGCTGCACCCCCTCAAACAGCTATTTAGTTTTGAATTTTTGTTCTTTTTAGGCCAGTGTCTGCACGGCTCGGGTGTATGTACACTCCACGGCCGCGCGCTTGCAAGCCACGAAATCACTCTTGCAATCTTTGGCCAGAAAAAAGCTCCTTTGGAGACAGAGGCACAAGACACAAAAGGAGAAGCAAATAAAAAAAATAAAATAAAATAAAAGAGAGACAAATGCAAAGGGAAAAAGAGAAAAACACAAGTTGCAGCAAGCTGAGGCTCCAAGTATGCGGACGCACGGAACTGCAACTGCTGCTGCAATAATAACAGTGTCCGATTCAGCAGCAGCAGCAGCAGCAGCAGCAGCAGCAGCAACAGCAGCAACAGCAGCATCAGCTGCTGTTGCGTGCAGCCGACGCAGATCCAGAGAGGCTTTTCGCTAGTGCAAGAAGCATTAAAACCACTTTTCAGAGGCTTATCCAAATAAATACGAAAACTTCTTAAATTTATTTTGATGAAATACTTTTTATATTAATTGAGTTTATCCTGGCTGAGAGAAAAAGCAAAAGACGCGCCTTATAGCCGCGCACTTCCGCTGGCCTCTAACAAGCTGCAGCGAAGCACAAAGCCACTGTGGCCCACTGCCATTCTTAATTCCATTTATTTCTTTGAATTGACTTTGTAAAAGAAGTACAAATGGCCTTCTTGCATGCATTTGAGATTGTGAGGCTGCAGCAAGCAGCTCTTGCGGAAAGCTTTCCTGCAAGATCGCCAGCAAAGTGCTCATGTGATCATTTGCGGGGGATGCTGGGCCAGCTGCAATTCCGAAAGAAAGTACTTGCTAAGCTGCCAGTTGATTGGTTAGGAAACTAGTAGATCTAATTTCCTTTTATTTGAGCCATTTTGCTTGACAAGTTCGCCGGCAGTTCAAGAAACAGAAGAAAGCGCATAGTTGAAGGCTAGTGAGTGTTCAAAATGCTCTTTATTTTTCTCGACTTTCCTCTGCGCTGTATTCAAATTTTTCAACTATTGTAAGTATGTTTGGAGCGAAGTCTATACTGCGCTGTATTCAAACTTTTCAACTATTGTAAGTATGCTTGGAGCGAAGTCTATACTTCTTTGCGCTTGATTTCTGGGAAGATGCACCGCACTTAGGTCAAACTTGACCCGCACTTATACCAAATCTGAAGACAGGAGTGGCAGTGTGTTCTCCCTAAATTTAAATTGACATTTTCGGCGCTGCGGCTTCTAATTACCCTTTTGCTGAAAATAAGTAACTTTGGCCGAGCACAAAGTCACCTTTGGAAGAACTGGCAAGAAAAGTCTCACGCTGGCTGCAAACATCGCGCTACTGAATACCCCATAGGAAAGATGTCGCTCCTCACTAATATTTATTTATTCTAATTACAAAATGATTTTAAGACAAGCTTCTTTACCACGGCATTTCACTTTGACTGCCTGCAATTAAGCGGGCATATCCTTGCCACTTCACTTTTCATGTTTCCCCACTTGTGCCATATTTCTCTACCGTTGCAGAATTTCCAAAAAGCCCTTTTTTGGTTAATTTTCAGTGCCAGGAACCCAGCTGACAAGTTTGAAGTTGAATAGATTCTTAGATCACGGGTTTTCAGAAATTCCCTCTCACTTCGCAGGCCACTTCAAGGCCTGCGAAGTGAGAGGGAATTTCTGAAAACCAACATATGTGAGAGACTGATTGGCAAGTTACCAACTTTTCTGCATTACTAAGAGCATTAACGTGGCGCATGCATTGGCTGCCAGCTGTTATTTCCTAAGCCTCTTTCTTACACCCTGCTTGGCCTTATCTGCAGTGCGCAGCACCGTAGTGTAGCGCAGAACTGGCCTTCATGTGATATAATTCAGGATATGCAATCTAAAATCCTAAGTAAAGCAAGAACCACTCAAATGGGCCTTGTTGTCAAGCGTAAAACCTGATATTAGTTTGGAACTGGCAAGAAGCACAAAAGCTGCAATTTGTCGAGAGTCATTCGCAGAGATAAAAGCATCGGGAAGAAACAGACGCTTCCCGAAAAACGGAGGCTTTATTTCGTGTTTTTTAAGATTTCTGGGGTTTAGCATATCCTTCAGTGAGCAGTGATGCTGAGAAGCTTGAATTCAGAGCAAAAGAGAAAGCTACGGGCAAAGCTAAGCTTAGCCCATTCCTCGGTGTGTCCTGCAGTTCGCTACAGCTTTAGGATATCATGATGCATTAAAGCAACAGTGAGCAGCACGGAAATGCAGGAAGCGGGAGAAATCCGAGGGAAAACAGATGCATGCATGCATGCATACCCTTGTCAAATAGGCCGACAATGATTTGACAATTAGGCCGAC